TGATAAAGTAGCGTTGTAGTGGTTGATGTTGGGGGGGGGGGGGGGGGGGGTCTGCTCTGACCCCTCTAAAGAAGGCTTTAACCCGCCTGATGGACGTTAAAACTAGTTGGGGGGGCAACTAGTTCAGATAGAAAGAAGGCTAGCCTAGGCATAATATTGAGATTTACTTGTAAATATTAATATGCATTTCTATAGCCCTAACTGATTTTAAAATATAATTTTGGCAGCTCCTGAAATGACATTACCTGAGCGGATCCATACTATGGAAGCCCGTTTCCGCCACTAAATAAAAAATATATAATTCTGTAAGTCATAATAATGAGAAACTTTCTCAAAATTATGACTTAGTATCTCGTTATAATGAGAAACTTTCTCATAATAATGACTTAACCTCTCGAAATAATGACTTATTTTCTCATAATAATCTTTCTTTCAGAATCATCATTGGCTGGTAGAAAGACAAAAATAGGTTACATAAAAGTGTTTACCTAAAAGTGAAGATATGGTAAAGGTGTGAATAATTACATTTTAGACACACTGTCAGTAATTTCACCAATGAAAATAAAGCCCTAAGAGAACTGTTGTGCGTCTCAGATCAACACACAGCCGTGTTTCATTAATGAATCCACGTTTTTAAATGAATCAAGTGAATCAATGATTCAGTGAACCATTCATAAAGGCAGTCACTTGCTTCGTTTCTGAATGAATCAGCCATTTGAACGAATCGATTGAATGAATTTATGAATGACTCACTTGAGACAGGGATTTGCCGCCACCTACTGGCGCATTCAGTTTTATATTAAGAGTATCTTTCTTTTTCAAATAATTTCATATTTCACTATTTATTTGTATTTTTTATGTTGAATTAAAATATTTATTTCTAAAGCTACTTATAGGCCTATTTCAGCTACCTTTTTGTAATGTCTATTCAGTGTTTTTTTCTAAATTAACACAATGATAACTTATCATTAATAATAACTTTATCTTTAATCGGCACATGATGTACATGTTAATTAATTAATCTCATTAATTTGAGATTCATTTGATTAATTAATCGGCACATTGTGTAATTCATTTTTTTTAAATAATCACTTGACAGCCCTATTTAAAACAAAAAATAAATGTAACTTTAAACAGGTGGTTAGATAGATGTATTGAGAAAATATTTATTTTGTAGCTTGCTATTGCAGCTCAATAGAGCAGGTTTTGTTTTGAACTTGTTGAATAATAGGCTACGGGGAGAGAATCTCCACATAATCTTGTCTGTAACAGTTCATACATTAATACATTTGTTTGTAATTTGTAAAGATTTTGTGTAGAAAGCCTATTTAAAATGCATTTGTTTGCCATTAAAACTTTATTTATTAGGCCTATCTACTCTGTAATTTTAGAAGGCTGAACTGAACTGAACTGAACCCACTCTCCCTTAAACTAATCCAACTTCAGTGGGCGCTACATGTGTGTGCCTTTCAAATACAGTTAGTAGACTATTTATTATGCGTTTTGTGCATATATATAGTGTATGCTATTTTTTTGTATTTCATGTTATGCCATTCTTCGGCACTTCGGCTGATTCCGGACCGGAACAGACCAGTCCATCGTATTCTGTGACCGTAGCAGGCGCTGTTGTCCCTGTTTAGCGGTTAAGGCTAGAAGGGATACGACAAAAACTACTGGGCATGCGCACATCAATATAGCGTAATTTTTCTCACACTGTACAAAAATAAGTACTATTTTTGCATTATTGTAAGGGATAGGTGTAGACGTTGATAAAACACAATCTACCACACCCCTGTTTAGCTTGAACTCGATCACACACAGGCGAGTAGGGTACGCGCACAGCGTCTGTCTCTGTGGGTTCGTTAAATGTTCGCGCGAGAACGCGCCTGGCGCCCGTGCACGTTATATGAGCGCGCCCGGAAGACAGTCTGGTGTCGTGCTGTAGTAAAAACTAGATACGCCGATTGAACTGTACATAACAGGTTTAATTACATC